TCATCCACTAGCACCCCCAAGTCCCTCTCGGCAGGGCTGCTCTCGATCCTTTCTTCCCCCAGCCTGTACTGATACCGGGGGTTACCCCGACCCAGGTGCAGGACCTTGCACTTGGCCTTGTTGAACCTCATGAGTTTCACACAGGCCCACCTCTCTAGCCTGTCCAGGTCTCTCTGGATGACATCCCGTCCTTCTGGTGTGTCAACCGCACCACTCAGCTTGGTGTCATCCGCAAACTTGCTGAGGGTTCACTCGATCTCGCTGTCTAAGTCATTGATGAAAATATTAAACAGCACCGGTCCCAGTACAGACCCCTGAGGGACACCACTTGTCACCGGTCTCCATCCAGACATTGAGCCATTGACCACTACCCTCTGGACACGACCATCCAGCCAGTTCCTTATCCACCGAACAGTCCACCCATCAAATCCATAGTTGTATCTTTTAAGTGATTTGGTATGTACTTTGCCCTGAGGATGTTATTGGCTGATTTTATTATTACTAGATGCAACTGTTCCACATTTTCTTTCAGGAAAGGAGGGGTATCATTCTTCTTGTGGCTGTGTTGTTTTTCAGGATTTCTTGAGCTCTCCGTGTGTGTTGGGGACAAACTTACCGGGAGTCACAGGACAGTTGATACAATCTGTTTGACCGCAACACTTTCTTTCTCAGCATTGTATGTCATCAGATGATCTTCTCTGAAGGTGATTGGCAGATTTTTACCATGGTTCACACCCAGGTCTTGAGTCTGGACTTTGAGCTATGGGCTTCTTTACTTCTTTAGCTAATTCAGTACATAGGCCTTTTGATTGTTATTCTGCATGTTTACTGTAAAGGACTAGAAGTTAATTTTCTCTCTTCCGTTGTGTATCTGTAGTCCTGCTCCTGTGGAGGGCTTTTGGTGTTTCCTGCTCCTGTCCACTATAACTGGGGCACATGCCTGGCCGAGGCACAGAGCCCTGTTATACCAATGGGCTCTTGAGGATAATAAGCAAATACACAGAACAGGAAGACTTTACAGGATTGAGTCCTCTGTATCTCAAGCAGAGTGCCACACTTGGGTTAAACTGGGATGGATGGGATCACTCAGGAGTGTGACCTTCCTTTCACTGTTTCAAAATGGTTTTTTCAGCCCTGCAAGAGGCTGTAGTAGAGCCAACTTCCTTGGGGTCGTGTGGAGTATTTTTCTGGTGAGAAGGCTCACCTAGGATCCTGTAGAGATGAAAAGTATATTTGAAATTAAAAGTAAATTTGAAATACCGGAGAATGCTGTACCCTGTCTTGAGACTGTTCTGTGGTGTCATACCACACTTGTTTGCAAAGAAGGAGTGTACATACCAAGTAGATTGAATGACTTCCCAAGTGAGAAAAATTCGAGTTTTATTTAGCCAAAGGGTTTATTTATAATTACAGAAGCAATGTCAATAAGTAATTGAAGATTTTTGCTAAGCCCACAAGTCATATAAAATACCTTTCCGTGCTTCATCTCCCCTCCTGTGTGGTTGCTCAGCTCCTAGTGACATTTTTCTGTCAATGTCTGCCCTCCAGCCATCCTCTCCCTCTCCTTCTCCCAGATTTTACCTATTAAAGAGGCTTATGTCTGTTCACGATAAGAGAAGGCACAGCGCCAGAGAACTGAGTGAGAACTGCAGAGAATCTGATGATTCTCTTGTTTATAGCAGTATAGTGGAACTCCCTGGACTTCACTGGGGTTGTTTCTGTTGCTGTTTCTGTGTGTGAGAAGGGAATCAGAAGGAAATCACTCTCCAGTTGAGGGGAGCCTTGATGAAAATGAATGAATATACTTTAGTTCCTGGATATCCCAAGAGGTGCTAGTAATCTATATTTGTTCCCTGCATCTCAGCTAGTCTAAATTATTAGACTTTTCTGACAGCTTTAAGAACCCATTTCTATTTTTCCCCACTCCTCTTTCCTGTTGTAAGCTCTTACTTATGGAAATTCCAGGACTGACCAGATTCTCTTTGGCCAGGACATGACAGACAACAGGTACATGTGAACTTTGCCAGCATGCTGCCTTCTGTTTGCTTCAAAAATAGGTATACAATCAGTTAGCTAATTTGATTGGCATCCTTCTGGGTACAATATTAACTACTCTACATGGTCCCATCACAACATGACATGCATTAGTACTAAGAATGTGTAAATACAGACCCCGAGTTTCAGCCTGTTCTGTGTCTAATCATATAAAATTCTGCTCTCGGTGGAAGAGAAAAGCAGCACAGTGTCAGGAACAGATACCGGTGTGCACTGCAGGGTCTTAGGAGA